TGTTGTCAACAACGGCAGCAGACCAAGCCCAATCTGGCCGTTGCCAGAGTTGTAAATCGAAGGGTCATGGCTCTGCTTGATACAGCCCTGTTTCAGATGATTACCATATATATAATGTATACTCATGAATAGGTATAGGAGTTATGCCAAGTAAGGTCTGACGTATATTGAATTAGGACTTGTGGTTGTGTATGTATATGTATTTCTTTTCTGATGCTTTTAGTGTTGTTTGATATTAACCTGATGACACCAGGACATCATGTATGTACATGCCATACCCACTGTGAGTTTAGTTTATTAATTGTCTGTACACATAGATGGCACTACAAGTAGCATAGATGGCTATGCAAGTACCCAGTCCTGAAGAAATCAACAACTAGTACTACCTTCTTCACCTGTTTACTCTTTTCCTTGATGTTGGAAGTATACTCTTTTGTCTCTATTTTCAATTGATAATGTTAATGACATTATAATATCTATAAGAATAACAACAGCATTGACATTGTAGGGAAAAATTGCTGAGAACTTAAGGAAAGGGGAAATGAGAGGAGGTCATGAGGTCTGCTTGACTCCTTGGTGGCTGAGCACTTGTGGGCCCATGTCTGTGTAGAAACACTTCACTCAAGAAAACTAAAGTGACCTGTACATTTTCCTTGTGGCTTGAGGTTAAAAACATGTTACATAACTTGCTGTGTGGGATTATTCATTCTTATTCATATGCTTTAGTACATTTGTCAGAATATTCTACTCACGTTTTACACTGAACTTGGTACTATACAACTAATGAGAAACTGTTTAAATTTTTTTCTTGTGGAGTAAAAAGACAATGCGATTACTTTTGATGTTTGATATTTATGAAGGATGAGTAGATGATGGCTTATCAACCAAGTGATTCTATCGGATGTGTATTTATATGGATTATGGCACTTTTTCATTGTCCAATATTATTTACTTCTTATTTTTTAATGTCAAAGAGTACAAGCTTGTAGCTGATTCTGGTCCGTTGTATGGAATTTGGTGATTAAAGCCTTCTGTAATGGGGACGTTGGCGCAGAGGTTGTCGTCATTACATTTGGAACATTAAGAGAATTCTGTCATTGAGCTTTTAATGACACAAGGGTAGTTGGTAGTAGCATTGTTTGCCAGAAATGTGTGGATTATTAGATAATTAAGTGTGTGCATACATGTGCATATTTAGATTTAGAACACATGAGAACACTCACACTCTTAGACATACAGAAGAGCTACACATGCACTCACTCAGGGAGTGCATATATATATATATATATATATATATATATATATATATATATATATATATATATATATATATATATATATATATATATATATATATATATATATATATATATATATATATATATATATATATATATATATATATATATATATACACATACACATATACACATACATATACACATATACACATATACACATATACACATATACATATACATATACATATACATATACATATACATATACATATACATATACATATACATATACATATACATATACATATATATATATATATATATATATATATATATATATATATATATATATACACATACATACATACATACATACATACATACATACATACATACATACATACATACATACATACATATATATATATATATTCACACATACAAATATGCACACATACATGCACACATACATGAACATGCACACGCAAACATGCACAGGCACGCACGCATGCACATGCAAACATGCACACACACACACCACACACACACACACACACACACACACACACACACACACACACACACACACACACACACACACACATACACACACACACACTTACATATGCACCCACATGTACACAAACAAACCAACCCCAGAGTACACCTGCAAAAGATAAGACGACCACATCCCGAGGCTGCCTCAAGCCCTAGGAAGATGAGAGGAGAGTTATGATGGGGAGGCGTGGAGGTCAGGGCCCCATACCCGCCCGGATCACGTCCATTTAGCCCTTCTGGAAGCTCCTCAAGATTAACGTTCTGCAAATCATCTTCAGTGGGTTCTCATTCAGTAACTGTATCTTACCTCTGATTATTGTAGCGGGGATGGGAATCGTTAGAGATACATGCATTGGGAGGTTCTCACTCTCTTCTCTCCAATTTTCCTTCTCTTCTCCTCTCTTTTCTCCTATTCTCCTTCTCTCCTTCTCTCTTCTTCTCATCTCTTCTTTTCTCTTCTCTTCTCTTCTCTTCTCTTCTCTTCTCTTCTCTTCCCACATCCCCTCCCCTCCCCTCTCCTCTCCCCATTTCCTCTCCTCTCCTCTTCTATCTTCTATACTCTCCATTCCCCTCTCCCCACTTCCTATCCTTCACTTTCTCCTTTCTCTTTCTACCTCCCTTACACACCCCACCTTCATTCCCTCTTCCCTCTCCACCCCCCCTCCTCCTCCTCCCCCCCATTCCTCCACCCTACCCCTCTTCCTTCCCCCTCCTCCTCCTCCCTCCTTCCCTCCTCCCCCCTCCCCCTCCCCACTCCTCCCCCCCTCTCCCTCTCCTCCCCCCCCTCCTCCTCTTCTCCCTCTTTTCCTCACCTCTTCTCCTCCTCCTCTTCCTCCCTCCTCTTCCTCCTCTCCTCCTCCTCCTCCTCCCTCCTCCTCCTCCTCTTCCTCCTCTTCCCCCTCCTCTCTCTTTCCCTTCCCCTCCTTCCTCCAACTCTCTCCCTCCCTTCTCCCTCTTCCTTTTTCCTCCCTTCTCTCCTCCCTTCTCTTCCTCCCTCTCTTCTCCTCCCCCTCTCCTCCTCCTCCTCCTCCTCCTCCTCTTCCCGCTTCCTCCTCCTCTTCTTGCTCCTCTTCCGCTCCTCCTCCCTCCTTCCCTTCCTTCCCTTCCCTTTCCTCTCTCTTCCCTTCTCCCTTCCCCTCCCCCCTTCTCTTCCTCCTTTTCCCTCCTCCTCTTCCTTCCCTTCTCTTCCTCCTCTTCCTCCTCCTCCTCCTCTTCCT